TATTGGGCGACGGAGGTTGTTACCGTGAAGTTTTTTTTTATAATAAATTTTATATGTATCTAAATATTACATTGTTAGGAATAACATTGGTTATACAATGGAATTATAGGTCCAATACAACCAACTCTTTCCACTACTGATATGAACAATATTTTGGAGTTTCGTCCCTAACACCTTCCAATTAGTCCCACTTGTGCATTATCCATTTGGCAAACCAATAGAATAAGTTTGCGAGTTACTTGGTTCTGCATATCTAATGTCCTTGCCACATGATTTGATGCCCAATTGTTTACTGTCCATAACAATTTGTGTTGCGACTTACTTATCATTTTCTTCACAACACTTAGTTTTTTATGTTCAACATCTATATATATATATAGAGGACAAATTTGCTTATTTAAGGAATAAGTATAGAATATTGACTCAGTTTAATAACTCATATTCTACATCAAATTTTAACGATCTAATTATCAAATTTAAAGTTCTTAAACCATTTGATACTTCATTTCATTAATTCAAATTGACAGATAATCATAAAAATATTTTATACGTTGATGTGTCAACTCCTTTTCTCTCACGCTTTTTCTTTTTATGCTTTGAAGAACCAAAGAGACGAGAAGCTACAGAAGATCACTCTGGAGACATGTTTACTACACCTAAAGCCAAACAAGGTAAGGGAATGAAAGTGAAAAATCCCTTTTTAGAGCGTGGGATAATTGATGGGTGGTGGGGTTGACCCTCAATTTTTGTATGTTGTATGCATTGTATGAAGTGGAAAACCCTATTATTTTTTATTAGTGATTTGTTGTCTGTCCCATGACTCTTTAACTCTTCTATTGATGTTAATTGCAATTGTTGATTGTTAAATTGTTGATAGTTAATTTCATGCGATGAGCCCTCTTGGTATGTTTTGAGTTGCCTATGGGTTCTTGTGGGCAAGGACGGAGCCAAGGGGGGACCTACGGGTGCCACGGCCCCCCCAACAATTTTAATTTTTTTTATATACATATATATTACTATATGGCACCCCCTATTTTTAATATAAACTCATATGTATAATTAAATGAATAACCCAAATTTATTTTTTTATTCAACTTTTGGACTTCTGGTACGGCCTGCTATGTGGTATCACTTTGGAATTTTTTTTTTTTTTAAAAAAATGTAGCGCCTCATTTGATCATTCCAATTCTCGGCCCCCCAGTATTGAAATCCTGGCTCCGTCCCTGCTTGTGGGAACCCTAACGTTATGTGTTTTGAGTATGATTTATAAGTAATCGTAATTATATATGTAATACATGTTTTATTTGTGCTTATTATGAGTGTTTCATCACACTATTTTTCCAATTTGAAATATGATGAATACATGTTTTAGGTTCATTGTTCCCCAATCGTGATTCTATAGGTTTTGAATTTCTGATATGACGTCGAGTGTCATTTGCGTCTCGTAGGGCGCTGTGATGCCCGAGAGTAAAGTTCACTCTCTATTCAGTTTGTGTCGGGCATGGGATACGTCTTTCTAGGCGCCATCGAGGTTGTGAGTCTCTATGAAACTCATGCGAGGCGTGAGTTAAGGCTATCTCATAGGATGTGATACGAGTCATGCTAGGTGTGAATCACCCAAGAGCTATGAGTGCTCTTTAGACAAGTTGCATCGGGCACAAATTAATTTTCATTGGTCGTTACCTTGTGTATGAAACTTGCTCTTTTACTTGAGCTATTGTGGTTTGGTTGATTCATTTGAATGTTTGATGAGTGTGAAATAAACATGAATGTTTTGATATATTGATGAATGAGATACTTGACTCATGTATGAAAAAAATCGTGTATATGATAAATTGTAAGTATAACAAACCACGTGTATAAATCATTGAGTATGTGTAGTTAATCATGATATGATAGAGAGTTTGTATGACATGCATCATATGCACGTAAATCTACAAATTGACAAATAGTTATATATATATATATATATATATATATATATATATACACTAAAGATATAATTATATATATATATATATATGCATTTCATTTATCTTAATTATGATATGTATCACATGCATAAAAATCAAGAGTCTGTGTTTATTGCATCTCATATTAATTTGCATGTGATTGTATTGTATCTTGAGATTAATGATTTGATGCATTGTGAATGAGTTGTAGTGTTTGATAGTGCTAATCATATGTTAATGCCACCCTATTGATATAAATCATGTATTGAGTGTGTTTGACTATTCATCTCTTATGTCATGCTATGAGCTAGAGTGAGAAGCTTTTCACTCCTTTTGTTTCACGTGGTTGTTGTATGAAGGTTGATGTAGGTGAGGCTCATCAGCATCTTAATGATGCTAGTGATGAGGCTTAATCTTTGTCTTGGATATTCTTTGTTAAATCTTATGATAAGGTTTATCTTTAGTTTACCTTTCCGCCTTAGTATGGAGTTTTGTTTAAGCGTTTGTTATGTGAAACTTTTACCTCATGTTATAGATATCACTTTGATTATTATGTAACCTATTTGAGGATTTTCATATCCTTATTATGAAGTTTTATGTATATACGTATGTGAGGTAGAGGGTGTCACATATCTCAAGCATTGTAACTAGAATTTTTTCAACAATTATGGAATCTACAGATTTACCATCCCAACAATATAACCTTGTTAGCAATACCAAATAATTTGTCTGAGTAACCTTTAATCTTCTTAAACTCTTTCATCTTTTGCATATTGAATTCCCTCATCAAACTTAGTACTTGCATACCTCAAATTTGCTCATCTTTTGCACACTCTTCCTTCAAATAATCCCAAATTGACTTTGGTGTCTCGTGGGTCATGATCCTAGTAAATATGGTTTGAGAAACACAAGAAAATAAACATGACTTTGCCTTTGCCTTTGCCTTTTTTTTTCTTCGTGGTTCTTTATTTGGGACATGGTGGGATTTTCAGGCAGCAAAAACACGTTATAATCCTCTTCTATGACTTCTCTCACAAATCTAAAGCTTCTAGGTACAACTCCATTTTCATTGTCGAAAAGTCATAGTTCTCCCCATCAAATATAGGAGGAACAACATGTAAGAAACTTGATTCAATGTTCATTTCACAGGTCCCTCAAGAAGAGAGCTCAACTACTAATTGTCGAATACTTTAAATTTAGAATAAGAAAGAATAACATATAGACAAGACAAAATGTGAGAGAGAATATATTATATCATAGAAACATATTAATTTTATTGAATAGCTTGAATTTAAATACACAAAAATAACAAAATCAAACTCATGCTTCATAATTTTAAAAACTGTTAGTGAGACTAGAATAATAAAAAAATGAAAACAATTTGATCCACTAACAACAATATAATATTCTTATCTTAATTAATTTACTTATTTAAATAAAAAATTAATTTAACTGATTCAAACTAAAACTGTTTTAATAACATCTAAAACACACATTTTCAATAAATACATATACCACTGTGTTGGCTTAATAAATATATATACCACTGTGTTGGCATGGTAGATAAAAGATATACCTTCCGTTATATTTTCATTAACACAACGACAACAATAAAATTAAAATCTAAGATATATCTCGTACAAATTACCACCTAGTCGCTTGTTACTAGAATGATGCTAATAGATTTTTTTATTATTATCAAATAAAAGCAATACAATGATGTTAACGAGAATTGAATATAATCTCTTAATATGACTAAAAATACTATGTATCCCAATTTTACACGATCGCCTTACAAAATAATTACAATACTAATTATAGATTCAACTTAAATAATTTAATGTGTAACTCTACTTAATAATTTATATTCTATATCAAATTTTAACGATTTAATTATTTAACTAAAAACTTTTAATATATAAATCAAGTTTATAAATTTTTTAAAAAAAATTAAAAATTATTTAATATTTTATTTCATTAATTCAACTTGACAGATAATTATAAAATATTTAATACGTCAATTTGAATTAATATAGAAAAATATTATATGATTTTAAAATTTTTAAAAAATTTACAAATTATATAATAAAAAATTTTAATTCAATAATTAAATCGTTAAAATTTAATATAAAATATGAGTTATTGAATGAAACAACTCTAACAAAACTTACTTTAAAATAAGTGAATATACATATATATTCTCCAACCAAGAATTGTCAACTCTTCTTTATTTTCGCGACTTCCTACACTGAAAGACTAACTAATTTAATAGTGTTTAGCCAAAACCCATAATTTCATCAAATTGTTGTCAATGATTAGGACGTGGATCTGCAAATGAAAGTTCCAACATGATGCGAAATCACAAACTTGGTTTAAAGTAATTCCAGCATGAGATATGGTGGAAGTTTACATAGAAAACTAGGACCCGATGACCCCGAATCATATACTAACAAAACACTAAACTTGAAAAAAAAATGTGCTAGCATAAGTGAGTCTATTTGGATTAATAAATTAATTAAACTTATTAATAATCAATTATTAAGCAAGGGCTCATTTACAAATCACAAGCTTAGTTGTGAAGTTTATTAAAATAAATAAAAAGGTCATTTTGATAATTTCTCATGAAATTTATTAAAATAAATAAAAGCTTGTAAGCCATACGAGTTTATGATAACCATTTATCACTCCATGGAAACGTTGAAACCCAGCCATACAAAGCAAAATGAGGAATATAATTTAATTAGAAGGTAAAATATAAAATTAACAACTGAAATTATGATAACAAGTTATATAATTGTATAAATTAAATTATAACAAAATAAATATATGTACATATATATAATCAAAATCATATAAATGGGTATGCATTTATCTTAATATTAACTATTATTATTTTTCAATAATAAGTATAATTCTACACCTAATCCTGTAAATTATTTTAGAGGAGACAATTCTTATTTAAAGAGTCGAAAATTAGTTTAATCGTCTCCAAAAAGTGTGGATGGAAAATCAATAAATATGTAAGCATGGCACATGACACAAAGAAAATATGCGACAACTATAAATATGGAAAGAAAAAAAAAATAGACCCTAAATAATTAATTTGTGGAACACAAAGCTTTAGCTTGTTTCTTGTTTCTAGTTTTTTTTTTTTTAATCTGTAATTTTCAGCCCCTTTAAAATCTTTGAGGTAAGCAGCACAGGATTCTCACCACACGACTGTCTGCAAAGAATATGTCACAAATACCTTCAAAAAACTTAAATCCATCATGTGAAGTGTACGTATATATGATTATCAGAAACTAGAATTAAAGTTGAAATATATATACCTGATTTTAGCTTCTTAAAAGCAAATGAACATGGATGCATGTGATGGACTTGGAGCAATCTGCGCTAGGAATTGATCTCCAGAAAATTTTGAATTATTTATAGCTCAACTAAACAGCTCAAATGATATTTAAATAAGTTTCTAATTAAACTGCAGCCAAAGTAGGAAAGCATTTTAAGAGCTAACATATCTATCACAATAAATTATAAGCCACTTCTAGATTCACATGTAGGTTACATACCACTGGCAATTAATATGCTATTTGTCAACCCATTATAGATTTTTCCTTAATTTGTCATATACATAAAATAAAAGCAAAACAGCTGTATAAGTGTGTATATATATTTATACACATGTATATAATAGGAGATATCACACGCAATCTGAGAATCCATGGCAAAGACACGTAGCCACACAAATAAATTAGTTGAATTTAAAATCTTATCTCAAATTCAATCTTAGTTCCTGCTAAAAAAAGATGCAATCTTAATTAGGGCAAGATTAATCGTCATCAAAAGTTAACTCTAAACACGAAATAAAAGTATAGAAATTTGATTTTTCTTTATGATTTTAAGACATCCCTTCAAATATCCCTTACTTAGCTTCAAACGGCAGACAAAACACAACCTAATAACTAACTAGCTTACACTGAAATTAAGTTTTTTTTTTTTTTTTTTTTTGAAAATGCAAAGTAAAGAAAGATAGATACATAGCTCCAATAATACAGCATATGAAAAGATAATTCCTCTCTAAACCTTGCCAAGTGCCTAACAAAGTGGCATCGAATTACAGGTTAAACCAACTAATATTGAAATTAAGTATCTGATTTCAGTGGCTTGAAGAGGCTACTATGTAAAATTTCCTCTCAATCTGAAATGAAATTTTTAACAGTTTAATAAAAGCATGAAAATATTTATTTACATTTGTCATGTACAGCCAGTTTTAAATTACAGACTTGAACAGCATCACGTGATGTTACCAAAATGTCTTAATTGCAGTAATTCCAGTTTTTGTACATTAAAAAATCGATACCGCATGTAACAGTACAGTACACAATTATATTTTCCTCCCTCATTTATTATCTTTTATATATATAAAAAAAAATATATCCCCAGATTAAAAAGGACAACTTTTTGTTGTCTCATTTTAATATTCAGAAAACATTTTCTTAGTTGCAATTACTACCAAGACTGAGCATGAAGTTATGTTTTTGGACCATATTGGTAGCAATTAACCCGTATCAACCACAACATGCACAACATAATTGCAACTGTACCACAATCTACAACCATAAATGTAACTAAAACATGATGAGACTAAGATCAATTGAGATGCAGCACCAATCAACCTAAGCAAAATTTAAGGGAAAAAAAAGGGAAGTGCAAAAGAGTCCATGCATTTTCGATTACCTCCACTTCAGAACATTTCAGTCGGTGGATCTTTATCTACAGTATGAATATAATCCAAATATTTCTATAGCAGATTCTGAATAGAATGAATACATTCCAGAGGGCTTAGGTAGATTGGACCACACACAGTTGTCTACCCAGGAAACTAACAAATTTAACCACTCCGTTCGTCTCTAACTCATATCAGAAAACGCATCCCAAAAAAAGAGAATTTTTTTATTTTATTTTATATGCAGTATAGAGAAAGGTTGATGAGATTATGGGACAAATGAGTACGACTCAAAAGAAATACGTGAACGATTGTTTCTCTGAGATGGATCTCTTTCATGTTGTAGAACCTCGCATACACAGAAATATATAGTACTAAACCAGAATATGTTAAATTCATGCCGGTCATGAATTATTCACTAGCTATTTATAATTTAAGCTCATATCCTTTGTCTTATATATATCCATATATATAGTACTCTTCCATCTTCTTTTGTTCATTTTTGCAGACAAACATTTTCTTTCATTATTAACAAATTAATTAGTATATGTGCATGAATATGTATATATGGAAAAGTGACTAAAAATTAATACCGGGGAGAGAAAAGAAGACATGTACAAAAAGAAATTAAACAATATCTCAGAAAAAAAAAATGAGATTGAAAGTGAAAGCCTGGTACCAGAAATTGAAATTGAGACTGAGATTGTAGTTGAACAGTACCAGAATTCATCAGATGAGAAACTAATCTGTTGGTTATTGAGTGATTGAAGCTGCTAGATGACCTGATGGAACCACTTATTATAATGATAACCGAATTTCCCTTCTGGTAGGTTTCCTTTAAGGACTCCAGTTTACAAGTCCCTTTTATTACTTGGCTCAAGAAGTTAAAGAAAATAAAAACTCAAAAAAAAAAAAAGGCAGGTAAAGTTGACACACTTGTTCTTCAAATTCCATAACTTTTTTCAAATTGATACACACTGGAAACCTTGAATTGGATCTAAGAATGAATAGATGGATTATTTTTTACCAGTATTTTCTCTGAGGAATTATTATATGCATGAGATGAGAAAAAAGAGTGTGTGGCTGATTACCAGATCATGCTGGCAGCTTCAACCTCTCAAACCAACATGCTTGTGAAAAGAGTAGTGATGAGCCCCATTGATGCAAATCCTTGAGGGTACCAACATATCTTGATACATAGATATTAACAAAAAAGGAACAAGCCATGCATGTTTGGAGTAATTAAAAGAAGGCCTCGTGATCCTCTTATCTCCTGATCCACATGAATGCTTGTGCGCAGCTCAATGTCTCTTTTCTTTCACTGTGCCATAGAGGGAGTATTTAATGGTAGGTTTTGGTCCTCCTTACAGCTATTGACAATGACTCTTTTCTCTCCTTTCTCTCTCTCTCTCCTTCTCACTCTGTAGGGTTTACATTTGTTAATCATATAATAACTCATATGAAAGGGGACCACATAATGGTCCTTAACAAATAAAAACGGAATGGGAAAAATTTATATTAGAAGCTAAACTATTATTAGCAAAAAAGTATCACTGTGGTCCTCGTCTTGGATGACAGATCCTTTTCTTGGGAGGAAAAAAGATGAGAGATTTCTTGTATACATGCAAGTATTTGATTTGAGTTTAATTTTTATATTTAAATCGTTAAGACAAATTTGGACAATCAGCTAATTAAAATTAATCATTGATATGATTGTTAAGGTAGTTATTATAAAAATTAATAAATATATTATATAATAATAATAATAATAATTTTTGTGATTAAATAAAAGTATAAGAAAATTTTATATTATCTTTTTTTGATAGAAGAAAAATTTATACATTAATTGTTTACTCTTAATTTATATTTTCCTTTAATATGTATTGTGATAAAATAAGTAAATAAGATCTAAATCAAAGTCGTTATAAAAAAAAATCTATATCAAAGATTTATAGTTTAAGTACACAAACTAACGACACAAATAGTACTATTCATGTAACTAAAAACAAGTAGTATGTACACTCATGATGCAAGAGATTTTACACAATCATCGACCATCCAATTACAAATTATTAGTGGTTGATAATATGAAGAAAAAAGAAATTTACACTTGCGTACATAGAAATTAATGAACTCATTCACCTTTGCCTCATAAAGTACTTATAGGGTTAGATAATAATTATGTAAATTGGATTTGGGTTTTATTTTTATGATCAACAATTTTTAATTTCATTATAAATATTGATAAAAAGTTAGTATTTAAGATCGTGTTTTTCAAATGAGGAGAGACCCCCTCAACTCAATTTGTTTTTAACAAAACACTCGAATATGAAGTAAAAATCATCCAAACTTAAAAATGGATCCCTCTCTTAGCCAATAATTAATATTTTTTTTTTCTTTTATTGTATGTACTTTGAAATGAACAAAATCAATCTTTAATCTGTACCCAAAGAATAAAAAATCTTTAATAATGTTATCAAAATTTTGCAGGGTATAATTTCCCTCTCAAAATCTATTATTGAATTGAAAGAGTAGACGACATAAATCATTCTAACCAAAGAAATCACATATCAATGCTTGTATACGTACGAATGTAGCTAAAGTGTGTAAAACCTTTTGTATATACAAAATCAACATAATAATTACTCATACTTTAACAACAGGCAAGGAGATCAACCAATAGTAGTTTATGATTCGATACTCTTGTACGGTCTTATAATTCCTGATTAAGTATGATTTTTATTGATAATTTTAATTTTCATAGGAGACTGGATAAGGATTAGAAGGGATTTGAAGATGATTTTTATGTTATATATATATGCGTATATATATTGTAATGCAGTGTCCAAATCAATTTCTTATCTTAATAAAACATTATGATTGTATAGTCAACATTATGTTCGGCTTTAATTTAACGGGATGGTAATTTATAGTTGTAGAAAATTGTAAGAAAATAATTTTTAATTTAATCTTTACTCACGTCAATCAATTATGACACTAATTAGACAACTGAAACCAAAATATTTTTCCAATATATTTACAAAGTGCTATCAATGAAAGCAACATAAAATTAATTAGTATTCATTTGCGACAACTATGAAAGCAAGGTTGTACTCAATGAATTTGGATTTCCTAATTTGTTGTTCACTGTACATGACATGGTAGTGTTGAAGAGAATTTTATTTATTAATTAAATATATATTGTGTCTTGCAACCAATCGTGATGAATCCTTATTTGATTAAAAATCATGTCTATATGTCTCTGCAAAATAATCAGATCATATCGTGTTAATTAACATGAGAAAGTCCAAGTTAATCCATTCTTAATACTGTAGAAGCGAGTTACTACTAGAAAGCTTAATTCAGAAAAGTTTGGCATCATTTTGAGTTTTTCTTAAAAAAAAAAATTGAAAACATCATACTAAGACAATTTATTCAAATTAAGTAAAATCATTGCGATAGTAAAACTCCTCTTCTAAATATTTAATATGTATTTATACATATATAATAATTAAATTCAATATCATTAGATTAAATTAAAACAATTTTATATTAATTGATTCATGTGAATTTGATGATAATTTCTTTGGATTTGATTAATTAATATTGGTCTAATTAATTAAACAGGTAATAAAGATAATGTTCCCATGTGCTTTGAGAGCACTTGGTCCCTACATGCACATAATCACAATTAAATAATGTCTGGTAATTATATGTAAATAAAAGGGGTGTATATAAATTGGCCAGGTTGGTGGAATCAGTTGAGTGTGCCCTCATTTTGTCTTTAGCTTTGGGTGGTTTCTCTGTCTTTGGTGTATTTGGTTGACAAACAATGACATATGGACAGACCAAATGGAAGGCAAGGACCACAGCTATGCCACCTTTTTTAAATAGTTCTTCTGATTAGTGGATAGCGTCACATGGTTTTGCTTTTGTGTTTTAGCTCAATCAGTTTAATTGATATCTTCAATTGATTAAGGTAGTTGTGACTTGTATGAGGTGGTTGCATTGTGATTAAACACTTCATATTAGGGCTGCTCCCTTTACCAAACGTATTAGGGTTCTCTTCTTCTTTCATTGGTCCCACTTGTGCCTTTGATAATTCAATTAACTCCTTTATATGTATGTAGATTGCTAGGTTTTTTTTATTTATTATTAATTAAGATGCCCTTTTGCTTTCCATGTCTTCAATCTCATTGTTACTTTGTCCCAGCCTCTACCTAAATCAGGGTAAATGTTCCCTTTTAGAGGAAAATCACATTTATCATGCCCAACTTTTGTTTCACCTGCTCCATTTCACTTCAATCACACAAAGGAGACACTCGACTAGATCATTAGAAAGCAACCAGATACACGTAACAATTTTCTGTAACGTTTTTCAATTATAAGAAACCCGGAAACAAAATTATAACATATATGCTCAAACATATAAAAAATAAAAAATAAAACAAAAAACAAAACAAAAAAAATACACCATATATGCTTCAAATTCATAATGATTATCTAGGATTGAAATTAGTTTTTCTTGAATTTCAATTTGATTTTCAATAGAGAAAAAATCAATTTTGCTTTATTGAAAATCCTACATCGACTATAAATAAAATCATAATAATATATATAAGTGAAAAATAATTTTCATCTTACAAATCAATTTTATAAAAATAATTTAGGTTTTTAATGAACCTTTTTAAGATGATGTCAGAACATATTAAAGTCTATATTCTAATGATTTGTTAATGAGCTTATCAAGCCTCCTATTATCGAATCACTATTGGATCACTCTTAGGTGATAGATCTTGCAAACATTTAATACTTTAGAATCACGCATAGTATTAAATGTTTAAGCTTTACAAAAGATCATCCAATAAACGAATATGAATGTTATAAGAAAAAGTAGGGAAAATGGTTTTGCAAAATTTCAACACTTGTCAAAGTTCTCTAGCTCACTTGTTCTTCTCGTCTTTTATTGTGTCGTCTGAGATATTCATTGGAGAGATGCTTTGACACCTATTCTTCTTTTTGTTATGAAACTTCATTAATGTGTTGGAATTTCAACACTTGTCGAAGTTTTCTAGCTCGCTTGTTCTTCTTGTCTTTTATTGTGTCACTACAAAAAATATAGCATTTAGCAACCATCAAAATCGGTCGCTAAATTGTTAAAATTGGTTACTATTTACCTTAGCAACTGAATTTAAGTAGTTACAAAAACCCTGATCACAAAGCTATATAGCGACGGAAATATCATATGTCATTATTTAGCGACTGAAAATTTTGGTCGCAAAATGGTTGCAATGATTTTGGCCGTTGTTGTATATGGGGACCAAATTGGTCACCGAATAAGATGTCACTAAATCGGTCACTAAGTACGTTTTTATTTTTAAATAAAATTTCGATCGCTAAATCGGTCGCTAAATATTTATTTTTTATTTTATTAAATTTTATAGACATCGCAAATTCGATCGTTGTGCGTATCACTACAAATCACTCATATTTGGCTTCTCAAGGATTTTATTTCACAATAATTCACTTTTCAGCGTGTTTTGTCCTTATTTACACAATTTCTGGAAAACTTCCTAGAAGGTTACCCATCCCTATATTACTCAAAGTCAAGCACGCTTAACTGTGGAGTTCTAACGAGATAAGCTACTGAAAAACAGATCCATGTTGTTAGTATAAGTAATACAAATTAATTCGTTTAAGTCATCCTCAACCTATATAATCTCATACTTATACTATCTTTGGATCCCTCTCATTTCGGTGTGTCCGGACCGTTATAAATATATAATAATATATATAATAATTATATTACTAATAATAGTTATTATATTATATTTAATTAATATTTATTTATATATATACTTACTTTTATAATTAACAATCTACTTATTTCTATTTAAAATTAATATTATGATACAAGTTATAATAAACACCGGTGTAACTTTTACTAAGTATTACATCGCTCAATAACTTTATATTAAATGTGAATTTTGTAAATGCAACCGTTAGATTGAAAGTTTATATCACTTTATATGTTTATATCAAATTTTGTTAAAATTGAACAACTTGAAGGTAATCAAAGTGTTCATATTTTAGTATATTTTGAAATATATATATTATGTCAATTTTGTTTTACAAGAATGAAGTATCAAATTATCTTGAATTAATATAAAATTTTGTATATATGATCTAAATAAAGTAAAAAAAAAAATTTAATCTAACGACTGAACTTATAAAATTCACATTTAATATAAATTTATTGAGCAGTGTAATACTTAGTAAAAGTTATACCGGTGTTATTATAACCATTCTCTTTTAAAATATTATTTTTATAAATTAAATTTTAACATTTTAAATAAATTATTCATTAACTTAATATATTTATTTGTCTTAAATCTAAAATAT